TTGGATCCAAGACTGTCTCCTCTAGAATTCCTGACAATAGTTCCATTTTCACTGCTGAGGCCAAAGCTATCTTCACAGCTTTGACCTATATTAAACAACAGAACCATTCCAAAAACTTCATCATTTTTACAGATTCATTGTCTTGCCTTCAAGCACTTCAAAATGTTACTTCAAGTCACCCTATCATCCTGAACATCTTGGAACTTTACAATGATCTTTCCACTGGCCAATGCGACATCGTCCTCTGCCGGTTGCCTGGTCATGTCGGCATAGCAGGTAACACAAAGGCCGATGCTGAAGCTAAAACAGCTCTTGACAAACCCTTAACTCCACTGCTGATCCTATACAGTGATTTCAGACCCACTATCAAAAGCTATATTCGGGACTATACAAAAAGGACCTCATGCAGGAAAATAAACTTCATGGAAACCAACAATTGGTTATACCTACTTGGGTTGTCAGTCAAGACGTGATGAGGTGATTTTACGACGATGTCGTATTGTCCACAGTCGGTTTACTCATGACTATCTGCTGAAAACGGAAAAATAGGACCTCCCATGTGTGTCTCTTGCGATGAAATGTTCACCATCAAGCATATTCTACTTGACTGTGTGGACTTTTCGACTGCAAAGGGATTCACATTATGATGCGAGAAATCTAAAAGATCTATTTTCCCGCGTGAGCGGACATCCTCATTGTTAACTACCTGTAGGGAAGTTGACCTGTATCATAAATTGTAACTTTGTAAAGAGAACAACGAATTGCTTGCTTTTGTATTTTTGTGCTCTGACATGTTCTGTTTTTAAAAAACATGTAATATATTAATCCCTTTTATTAATATTATAACCCTTTTGGACCTTGGACTTAAAATGGTAATGAATGGAAACTCGATCTCGTCACTGATACAGTACGCCGACGTCTTTACAGCAGGAACCTCCATTGCCGTAGGCCTTACCGTGGACCTATCCTCACCCCTCGTCATCGGCGTGAACGTCTACAGTTTGCCGTACAACACCAAAACTGGCGATACACGCAATGGAGAACTGTTCTGTTCACAGATGAGAGTCGGTACTGCGTATCAACTGCAAATGGCAGAACAAGAATATGGCGACGACGTTACCAGCGTTACTCAGACCAATGTGTTTTGGAAAGAGACTCATGGGGAGGTGCAAGCATCATGGTATGGGGCGGAATAGGCCTGAACCAGAGAGTGGGTCCTGTGGTGTTCCAGAACCTTGGTCCAGGGAGAGGAGGCGGCATCACAGCGGTGCGCTACATCGACCAAGCTCTCAGACCCCACGTCATACCACATTTCGCACGTCACAGGAACAACATTTTCCAGCATGATAACGCCCGGGCCCATACTGCCAGAGCTACACGGGACTTCCTACAGCAGAACGGTGTCAACATTATGCAGTGGCCAGCCCTTAGTCCTGATTTAAACCCAATTGAACATCTTTGGGATGAAATTCAGAGGAGACTGAATAATGTCATACCAAGGCCGAACACAGCCGATTTATTGCGCCAGGCCTTTCTCAGAGTGTGGTTCAAGGTGCCAATGACCTTCATCAATAGATTGGTGCACTCCATGCTGCAGTTATTGCCGCTCGTGGTGGTCACACTAGATACTGCAGTCAAGAGTCTGAATGAACTACAAACGTTCACGTAATGTCTTGGAAATGTGCTGAGTTATTTATTGATGTGTCAAGATATTGTACACAAACATGTTTTAATCCGCTTATTATGTCTGCTATCTAATTTTGAATTCGTACTGACGTTTTTATGCTGCTGAGTATAGTAATCTGCAGCGTAAAACTAAACTCACTCACTCACTTATAGTAATCTGATTTTTTTTCGTTTTACAAGTTGTGGTTTTCTTCTGTTCTGTTACTATCTAAAACATTCGACGGACACTTAAGTGCTACCGCAAAATGTGGCTGTGTGTCATGTAATTGTGAACTGTTGCCACGCTCAGAAGTGAAATGCATGTATTTTCATCATAATATTCCCAGTGTTAATTGTAATCTAATTTTTGTTTTCGTGTTGCATGGTTGTTTTACCTTTTACACTATTAATCTAAATACAAATTCTGTGAGAGGAGAAAACAATTGGGAGAGGGAGTTGCTAAGTTGGGATCGGGTGGTCAGACTCGCTGGCTTGGTTGACACGTGTCATCGGTTCCCAATTGCGCAGATCGATGTTCCTGCCGTTGATCACTCGATTGTCTGGTCTAGACTCGATTGTTTACAGACCGCCGCCATATAGCTGGAATATTGCTGAGTGCGGCGTAAAACTAAACTCACTCACTCATAACAATGACGGAATCTCCGTCTAATGTGGATTTCTTAAGGAATCAGATCGATTAAAACTGTCTGGGATGTGGGCTATGAATGAAGCTCGGTGGAGTAGACAGGTATTTCATCGCAAAACATTTACACTGAACGACGACGATGTCCATGGCGTGTGATTCACCTGAAAACTGATTTATAAGACAAGTATATGTGTGGCAACTTCTTATTTTTCTGGACTACTTCTTGCCCCATCTTCAGTTGATTGAAAAGGGACAAGAAGTAGCCCAGGAACGTTGTGTTATACAATAGACAAGAAGCTGCCATCAATGCGCTTGTCTAATATATACACCAACTTCTAAATGCCTCTCAAAATCTCTGAAAACTGATGTCTGTCAAACATTATAACCTAAATCTACAAACACTAAATCTACACTACACTAAAGAAAGACGTACAAATAAATCTGCAACGAATTGCTCAAAACTATTTACCTGAAAATAAACCGCAGCTTTTATAATTATTGTTTTCATATGTCCTTAACTGCCTTGTATCTTTGGCCGATGTTACATTGACTTCGTTTCCAGGATACCGCCACACGTACTGGATTAATGATTAAAGTGAGCATCTGGAAGAGCAGTCCAAAACCTATTGCCATGGAACAGTTAAATTAATCCGTTATTAGATCATCAGGTTTGGTTTCTTTTGTTGCAAAAGAAGTATTTCATTTTATAACCGAAACCATCTTCGCTTCTTCTTCTTCTTAAGTCAGCAAATGCTGGATCGGACATTTTCAAATGGCATTTTAGATCAAAATATTAGGCAAGCGCGGTCTGCATGTTTTCCAGGTGCATAACATGATAGTTACGCTTTTGCCTACTTGTAGTGAGTGAGTGAGTTTAGTTTTACGCCACACTCCAGCAATATTCCAGCTATATGGCGGCGGTTTGTAAATAATCGAGTCTGGACCAGACAATCTAGTGATCCACAGCATGAGCATCGATCTGCGCAATTTGGGAACCGATGACATGTGTCAACCAAGTCAGCGAGCCTGACCACCCGATCCCGTTAGTCGCCTCTTACGACAAGCATAGTCGCCTTTTGAGGCAAGCATGGGTTGCTGAAGACCTATTCTACCCCAGATCTTCACGGGTCTGCCTATTTGTAATTAGGGCTTGCTATCGATGTAGATCATAGAGATCTTAATATCGATTGATTATCGATAAATATCGGAGACGTAACTTTGAGCAAAAATACCCCAAGTATCAGAAATATATTTCATATGATTGGTGAGTGGTGACATGTTTAAGCATTGATTACTAACGAAACAGCGCCCTGAACATAATTTAGAAGTAGCACATGAAGAAAGACCTAACTCTGTGTATTGTGGGACCGCTTTCGTGGCGTAGTGGTTAGAGCGTCCGCCCGGAGAGCGGAAGGTCGCGGGTTCGATCCCCGACCGCGTCATACCAAAAGACGTTAAAATATGGTACTTGTTGGTCCCTGCCTGGCGCTCGGCATTATTGGGTACAACAAGGACTGGTCGGCTCGGAGTCAGTATAATGTGTCTGAGTGGGGTATTCATGCTTCACTGCGGCATGGTATCTCAGTGGGCTAGCACTGTAAAACCAACTTAAGAGCGGAAGGTCGCTGATTCGATCCCCGACCGCGTCATACCAAAAGACGTTAAAATATGGTACTTTGTTGGTCCCTGCCTGGCGCTCGGCATTAATGGGTACAACAAGGACTGGTCGGCTCGGAGTGCATGTAAATAGTGTGTCTGAGTGGGGTATTCATGCTTCACTTCGGCATGGTATCTCAGTGGGCTACTATAAAACCATCTTAAGTCTGGGCTAGTACAAGCCAATGCAGCCGCACCAGGGATGCTCTACAACACCTTATATAGTCTCTTTGGCCGCACATACACATACATTGAATTGTGTATTCATGCATCGTCATATGAGCGAAATATTCTCAAGCACGACGTTTAACCCAATTTCACCTCCCACCTCACCTGTGTATTGTGTGAGTAAAGGTACATGTATTTTATACCTGTAATTCAATATGATAATTCAGTGGAGAGAATGATTATTAATGATTATTATTATTCTATCACAAAAGTTTATGTACGATATAAAACATTTTGTGATAGAATAAATAATGCCCCATCCGTGTTTCTTCCGGAATCCACGAGCGAGCTAAATATAATTGGAAAACCCAGGACATTTGTGCCTATTAATAGTTTATCAGTGATTGACAAATGGCGGGTGCACCTGTAATGCTACTCGCTTCCTGGGTGGAAATATTCATCCATTTCAGTGGAGAGAATGATTATTAATGGTAATTTTTACTGTAAAATACGAATAATTATGCTGACACGTAGGAATCTCGATGACATGTCAGAATGTTACCTTGAACAAATTCTTTTGCATAACACTGAATAGTTCATTTATGTCACCGATTTAATAGATCACGCTGCTCGCGTCGACTATGTCAAATTAAAAAGATGACATTATTTACGTGAAATTGATTCGACTCAATATGGCAGGCCATCGACTCTTAAAGCTTGGGGTCTGGTTTCATCCTGAATCCCTGAGCGAATACACGTGTGTGTGTGTGTGGGTGTGTGTGTGTGGGGTGTTCTGTGTGTGTGTGTGTGTGTGTGTGTGTGTGTGTTTCTCTCTGTATTATGTAAAAGCCTATGATTACATATATGTGTTTCCATAGGTAACACTTTAATTCCAATACAATGTATTCCGTTTATGTTCTGTATTCAGTAAATCAATGTGTTTGTGTGGAGCTAGACCAGATAGAACAGGTTTTAATCCACTTGATACAGAAAGTTTCTTTAGAGCAGCTTACTTGGAAAATCCATGACATATGTGTTTATTAATAGCTTATCAGTGAACGACAAATTGGCGGTCTGGGTGCATCGGTGTGCAACTTGCTTCCTGGTTTGAAATGTTCATCTGTAGTTGAGATTGTAGATTAAGGTATGTACTTTATACCTGTAATAGAATATGATAATGTAATGCCGAGAATGGTCATTGATGGTAATTTATACTGTAAAATACTAATAATTATGTTGACACGTAGAAATCTCGCTGACATGTCAGAATTTTATTTTGAACAAATTATGTTATGTTATGTAACATCAAATTAAATAGATCCCGCTTGCTCAAGATTTCTGTGTCAAATTTGTTGAAATTATTTCCATGTAATTGAATCTCGACCATACACAATATTTCACAATCTTTAGTATCGTAATGCACATGTTCCGTGACAACCGTTTAACACAACAAACTGTAACAGCTTGGTGTTTTGTTTAATTGTACATGCAGCAATACTACCATGTAGCCAATGAACCAAAAAAGCTGTAATATCAATGACTTTCTCGTTAACAGTTTTGTGGAGCTTTGTGATGGCATTGTTACAGTGCACGCTGGAAGAGTGTGTGACGGAATGCGCATTCCTTCCACAATGACAGTTATCTCCCCTTTATGGACCCGCCTGCAATCTCGGCATACACTGCAGTCTGCTTTACTTTGAAAGAAAAAACTAACCTTATGTCTGGTCCAAGTCTCCCACCACCACTATCGCTAGCACTCCCACTCACCACTATCGCTAGCACTCCCACTACCACTATCGCTAGCGCCCCACTACCACTAGCGCTAGCGCTCCCACCACCACTATCACTTCCGCGATCTATCACACTTACTACCGCCGCCGCCACCACCACTACCATTACCACCACACCACTACCACCACTATTACCACCACCACCACTACCACTACCACTACCATCACTACCACACCATCACCATCACCACTACCACCACTATCACACATCACCACCACTACCACTAACGCTACCACCACTACAACCACTATCACTACCACCTCACCACAACCACCACTATCACTACCACCACTCTACCACTACCACACTATCATTACCAATTACCACAGCCACCACTATCACTACCACTACCACCACTATCAATACCACAGCAACCACTCATCAATATCACTACCACCACTATCAATACTATCACCACCACCACCACTATCACTACCACCACTATTACTACCACTACCACCACTTCTACTACCACTACCATTATCACTAGCACTATCACTACCACCACTACCACTACCATTATCACTACCCACTACCACCGCCATTTCCACTATCATTACCACTACATCTACCACCACTATCACTATCACTACCACTACTGCTATCACTATCACGACAACCACACCACCACCATCATACCACCACCACGACCACTACCAGTAGCAGATTGCAACAGCAGCACTTACAATAGTAAGAGCAGAAATGTTTGCAGTTGTACTTGTGTACACCACTGAAGTGTGAAGGCATTATGATACTAAATGTGTGAATTCAGTCAGGCGAGATATCAACGTGGCATTTAACCTTCCAACACCTGACAAAGAAACTGTAGTTGTATGTTTCTAAGGGGCTGAGAATGAACCATGACTGCTTCCTGATCATTTTAAATACACAACTTCATACCTTAAATGTATTCTAGAAAACTGATTTCAAGGTAACGTGATATATGTCATACCAATGATATTTGGTGGCATTTTCTTTGCATGTTGTCCGTGTTGTGTTTCAGGATTCTTACGATTGTAGCAACTGGTGACGCGGGACACCAATATGGCGTCATCCGGGAAAGAAGACGGAAGCAAACTGACAATAGTACAGCAGATAAAGGTATACACGTGAACACTAAAACTGTCTTAGTTTTTCAATGTCTTTATTGTGATACGTAAAAAACCATCACAGTAACATTTATGGATAAATACTGCCGGGAAAAGTGTGCTTCATATACAGGTCAACAAAATGTATTTATTTAGTATTGCATAAGGCAATTTGCAATACATATCCATGACAAGTGAGTGAGTTAGCGGAGTGGATGAGATTTAGTTTTACGACGTTTTTAGCAATATTCCTGCAATATCACGGCGGGGACACCATAAATGGGTTTCACATTGTACCCATGTGGAGAATCGATGAGAAAACTTCAAACACTTGGCTACCCCTCCGCCCCTACTTCCATAAAGACAACTTGTATTTTGCTTGTTGTTTAACGCCATGCTCACCAATCTTCCAGCTATATGACTCCGGTCTCTATATAAACAATTATGGACAGGACAATCCAGTGATTGAGAGCATGAGCATCGATCTATGCAATTGGGATACGATGACACGTGTCAATCCAATCCCGGTCTTACGACAAGCATGGGTTGCTGAAGAAAACGACCAGACGTCCGTTGTAATCCCTACATAAAAAGCAGCACGAATTGTTTGGTTTCAAGCTCGACGTCAGTGGAATTTGAGGCCATTGAGAAAGGGCCACTGGTCCTCGGACGCAAGTCGATTTCGTTTTGTTCATGAGCCAAGCTCTCGTGTTTGGCTTCACAGAAATTCTGCATATGTACAACGGAAAATCTAGGCGCAAGTATCATTTGGTTGATGTGATAAGGTGATGTGATAAACGGTACATCAATGACATCCTGCCCAGGGTTCTTGAACAACATTTCGATGACCACCCTCTGAACACAAAGACAACTCGTGGACGACAAAGCCAGGGCCACATTGTGCACTTACCTTTGGTGATTTCTTACGCCAAGAAGGTCAGGAATGTTATTGCAGTTGGGAGAGGTTACAGCAGATAGCGACATTGTGGTCAGTTATTGATACTAACGGGATTTCTGGAGGGTTGTGTGCCAGATTCTTGAAATTGAACGCACTGCCTTGTAGGGTGGGTATTGCAGAGTATTTTCATACTGCAATATATTGCGATGCGAAAGCAAATATTGCGATATGTATTGCAATATATTGCTAGAATTGTTTTGAACGAAAAAATACTTATAATCGAGTTAATGCTTGATTTCGAAAGCTTTAAACACAGCAAAATCACTATGCATGATTTCGTTAAGCTTTAAATAAAACCTTTAATCATGACAAAGTAAATAATATCAAGCACACATGAAACAAGGAAAAGAACTTACTGGCAAACAAAGGATAAAGTAACACCAACACAGTGGTAACTAGTTTGACCTAGTTTCTTCACTCTCAAGACAGCAACTTGACCTGATCAGGATATATCACATCATTGGTCATTAATGAGTAAAACATTTAAAACATTCAGATACAAAACACTGCGAAACACTTGAACAAAACTTAAGAACACAACTTCAAACCGAACTTAACTTGACTCCCGGTGTGAAACACAGACATATCCGAAGATGTCGAGTGTTACGAAGTTTTCCGAATGCATGTCGAAATGCCGGTTTTCGATCAGCGTATCGCAATACGTATCGATTTCCATTCGTCACCACTCGACCCTTTCCGTAACCTCCAAGAAGACTCGTCCCCCACTCGATACTTGTTATGTGCGAAAATACGACAAACCAATCAGAACGCGCGTAAATGACTGCGGTGCTTTGGTAAAAATAATCCCGAGTACTTAAATCGTTTATGGCATTATGTCATTGTTTAAAAATTCATGAAAAATATATATCGTTATATTGAAAGTACAAAGAATTTAGCTAACAGGATTTTCGCTGCCTGGTATGAAGTTTTCGATAAGAATCATGCGATTGACGGTGAGAGATTCAAATACACGCACGTGCGTTTGTTGACATTACGGCTCTCATGTTTCCAACTGAGGGTATTTCTGACGATCTTGCGGGCTTGCTATGGAGATTGTACGTGCGCTTCAAACAATTTTAGGAAATGTAATTATAAATCGCTACGAGTTTCAAAACAATAATATTACACATGTATTTCTGCACGTAAGTAATCAACTTTAATCTTTAACATTGGGCATATATTTCACATCTTTGGGAATATTTTAGTCTGACTCTTTTTTTTGGTCATTCATATATTTTTCAGCGAATTCATTCAAAATTCCACTTGGGGTATGACAGCAAGGTTACACGAATGTTCAGTTTGAGAAATATTTTAAAGTCATTTTTGAGTTTCTGCTTTGGGATTTAATGTAGCTTTAATAAATGTTATTTACATATTTAATAAAACAAATCCCAATAGTGATTATCAAACCCTATTTAGAAATATAATTGGAAACATAAGGTGAAAATCTGGTAATAATTACGTCAGAATAAGTCTGTAACAAATACGTTTTTCTCCTTCTTTTAGTTGTATCAAAAAGGTTTAGTTCTTTAAAAACATAAACAGCAATACAATGTATGATTACTTCGGTGATATAAGTACCATTGGAATCAAACAAAGAATAGAGTTATCGTTCCTGTTTCAAGTAGTTATGATGTTCATGCGCCAATATGAAATCCTTCCAGAGGGGCACGAGTCACTATTCGGCTTGTCCCGGAATAAGACGAGTTAGTCACGAATGCATAATTTCATGTCTGAACTTGTAAATATCGGAAAACTTGTTATATTGCGCAACTCTACTGCATTGTTACTGTCATATGACCATTGGTAAAAGCACTACAAAATGAGTCAAATCGTTGCCACGTTTGCTTTTCTGAATATTCTGTCGTTCAGATTGTTAGGCGTTTTTTTGTCGTATACATTTCCTAGAGCGTCAGTGAAATTGAGGTTTGAATAATTTCCCTTGCTATGGCCAATGGTAATAAATTTGATACTTTGAAAAAATGTGGGTGTTGCTGCGATATAATTTTCCATGTATTTTTTATTGAATTTATAGTTACCTTTTATATTAAGATTTTATGAATGCTTCATTAACAGGCCAGAAGTACACGATCGTCCACCAGTATTACTTGAATGACTGCTCCGGGGTTCAAATTGGAAATCGGAATCAGCAGGTTGGCGTATTTGACGATGGCGTTCAGCTGCTAGAGAAACCACTCGGTAAATATACCTTTATATACATATATCACTCAAAGAATGTTGCTTATAATAGAGATAGAAGCGACAAAACCCTTTCCACATTCACAAGAAATCTCTGCCAAAAGCAGGAGTGAGTGAGTGAGTTTAGTTTTACGCCGCACTCAGCAATATTCCAGCTATATGGCGGTGGTCTGTAAATAATCGAATTTGGACCAGACAATCCAGTGATCAACAGCATTAGCATCGATCTGCGCAACTGGGGCCAAAAGCCAGAGTCCATTGTACAAATGTGACTATATCATGAATATATATTTGTTGCAGCAGTATTACAGCAGTGTGATGTTTTTGGTAAACAGATCGAGTCTCGAACCAGTGGTGGTCCGATTAATTGAAATAAATGAAGAGTGTCGCAGTGGCCAAACGACCAAGCAAATGATCACATTTTCTCATAAATCAAACACAAACGATTTTGGAGCTGCTGTAATAGAGTTTGAAATACTCTGATGATGGAACATATCTAGGACGTTGTCAGGGCCTGAAAACATGTCTAAGAAAACTCACTTCACTTTCTGTAAAGTCATGACTGAATTTTTCTTGAAGAATCTGGGAAGTTAATGTTACACTGGAACTGAATCATTTTACACTGGATGTGAAATCTGAAAATGTATTTTGTGCAGTTTCTAAAAACAACAACAGAGAACCAAATGTTTTTTTCTTTATACTTATACTAACCTGAATAGGAAAATCTGAAAATGACGCTAACCAATTTTTTTCGATGATTGGTCGTTGGTATTGAACCAATCATCAATTGTGAGATTTCAACCAATTCCCAACACTAGTCTGAACCAGACAATCCAGTAATTGTGACATGAAAGGCAATTTGACAAGGGAAAGTTGAAATCATCCCTTTGTCTGTGGAGATTATTTTGTCAATCTGAATCTCTGATCTAAATATGAAACAGTTGAGGCAGTGTCACTTGTCTCCCTTTAATTTCAAATTCAGGCAAGTTCAAATCAGTTGAAGGCAACTGGCTATTTGATAGTTAGTGAACGATATTAAATCAACCCAAACAGAAATTCTGATTCATATGCATTAAAAAACAGACCCGCAAGGAGGGCATAATTGGTGCCCATAGGGATGCCTGCATCTTGAAGGGTAATAATTCTGCCCTGTTAACACGCCTCACATTATGCCAGAACACAATTCACAAAACATCATGTTTGACTTGTTTTAAGGTCAGGTAATATTGGTGACAGTTTTATTTGTTCACTTCAGAGGCAGACACTCACGGATTCACAACTGATCAGGTAGTTGTGGCAATGTTGAATAGCATCCTCAACCCAACCCATAGTGCAGATGCACCGCCGGTTGGTCTGCAAAAGCTGGAAGACTCCTTTAATAAACTTTATGGAAATGTTGGACGTAAACGGAGATTCAAGGAAATCGCAGGTTTGAATTTACTGCCATTCCTGAAACTTAAACCTGAGAAGTTCATTCTAACTTTGAAAGAATCGAATTGGTTCGTACAGTCGGTCCCTCTCACCGTCAACACCAAAGTGATTAAAGGACAACAACAATCAAGTGTGTCTGAAAATGAAGGAGAAGAAACTATTCAACAGAGAAGCACAAAGACACTCGAACCAGCTGCGTCTTCGGTACCTAGCTCTGATGACACAAGTGAAGAGAAAACAGATGATGATTGGACAGTTGTTGAGAGGAAGAAGGGAAAGGGAAGTAAGGCAAAACGTGTACCTTCTGAAACCAAAAGGAAACCTGGAAATAAAATAGGATCACAAAGAAAATCATATGCAAGTATTCTGGCAGGTCCACCTAAACAAGGAAGCAAGAGAACAGAAAGGGTTTCAGTGAAACCAATTGAAACTAAAGGTCATGAAATGCTCGTACCCTCTTCTCCATTTGTACAATCAGTAGACACACAGCAGGTAGAGCATACACAGTCAGCTTTTGAATCATTCATGAAAGTGGTAGACAATTTCAAAAAAGGTCACTTTGTTCTGATGACAGGGGATCTGCCTGGCGACGCTCTTTCTAAATCAGCTGAAGTTCTTACAGCAATCCCATGGATATTGGTATTTGACTTGGATGAAAACAGTCGAGATCAAGGTCTACTTGGAAGGGTAGAGGAACCGCTTAAAACTGCACGATCCTTGCATATCTGCAGCTGGAAAGAACATGTGAGGATATCTGAAATGGCAGCAACTTGGTATTTTGTTCGCGGTTACCGAGAAATTCCAGAAACAAGATTTGAAAAGGGATACCGGGATTGGTTCAAACAAGTGAATTCTTATGTTACAACTCTTGCTGAAGACATATCCAGTTTTGTCCAAGACACAACAGTCCTGAAGGTTGTAGTGATTTGGAATGAGAACATTTCTAAGTACCTTGACTACATTGTTTGCAAGTTAGATGAAAACATACAACATGGTATACAAATCATCGTCTGCAGAGATGGTTGTTTAAGCGACTCGAGATCCCAAAATGATTTTATACACATGTGTGGTCAAGTTGAAGAAAACTTAACTGTTATCAATATATCAGCACTGAATCTCTTTCTTGGTATATTTGATCATATTCACAAAAGTGCCAGTTCAAAGAGAAACTATGACTTGTTGAAAATACCAACTGCAAATGATAGTGGAAGTACAGTTGACAAGCAAGGGTTTGCATGGCTACATGAATACATAGACGTAATCTACTTGAAGATTCTCGAGGACTCTTCATCAGACGTTGAAGTCATTGAGGAAGAAGCGCATGTTTTCTTTAAAGGTGGAACACTTAAATGGGCCACCAGGTTTCTTTGTGGGTCAGAATACTTGGATGTTGAAAGAGATGCAATGGATCAAATCGTTGAGAAAATCAAAAGCTTGGTCCTGTCATTTAAATCTGGACTCTATACTCTTCATCATGCACCTGGATCAGGTGGATCGACTTTGGCACAACGTGTTCTATGGGAATTACGGGATATATCACCTTGTGTACAAATACACTTCCACTTGGGTGCATCTGTTGGGGACATAGTAAGCCGCCTTGAGTATCTGTACGAAAGAACACACCTACCTATCATCGCACTGATTGATGGCGAGGATGAGCACAACGTACGCTATCTGAGGCAAAGTGTTCGGCAGATTTGTCTGGTTGTGCTCTATGTGAAGAGATATCCATACAGCATGTCTGAAAAACCAAATACATCTATGGATTTCTGGCTTCAGGGACATGTCAGCAAAAGAGAAGCAAGAAATCTTGCCACAAAATTTGGAAGTTTTTGCAAAGATGAACAGAAAGTTGATGCACTTAAATCACTAAGCAAGGATGTGAAGAAAGGGTTTGAGCATCAGTTATACGAGTTTGGACTCACTGCATATCTGCATGAGTTTAATGGCATTCGGTCCTATGTGGATGGATATCTCCGTTTGGACAAGAACACCTCAAACGAACTTCTTCCATGGCAAAAATTGTTGGGGTACATTTCCCTTGTCTATTACTATGGACAAACCTCAATTCCATGCCAGTTCTTTTCTCGTATGCTTGGAAAGCCAGCCAACTATGTTGTGTCTATTGACGATTTTCCATTTGAAGTAAGACAGTTCGTTGTCATTGATGCGACGAAAGGCAAATCAAATGGGATGAGGGCATGCCACTTCATCATTGCAAAAGAGATATTAGAGCAACTGCTTACAAGGGGACATGCCAGCAGAAGCGATCGGAGTGAGTCACTTTCCCCAAAGGCATGTAACAATTTGCGCTGGTTGGCAGTCTCCTTCATTGATGATGCAAGCCTAAAAAAAGGGAAATCAGCTGCATCCCCGCAGGCAGTAATGAATATGCTTGTGCAAACCTTTATCTCCCGAGACAGCAAAGGCATGGGGGAAAGTGAAACGCAGTCCAAGAAACGTCCTCCATTGGCAAAATTGCTGGTGGACATGACATCTAAACCGCCATACACGGAACGACTTCAGGTGTTGCAAAAGCTGTGCAAAGCATTTCCCAACGAACCAAATTTCCATGCACACTTGGGACGATTTTATGCTATGTTTAGGTCAAATGAAGAGGATGAAGCAATATGTGCCTTCGAAACAGCTTTGAAACTTTGTGAGAAAAAAATGGAAGGAAAAATCCCAGAAGAACAAAATGAAAGATTGACAATTACACTTTCCCAAATTTATCACATGTATGGCATGATATATGTACAGAAGGTAAACAGATTCAAAAGCAAGCATTCTTCAAGCATGAGCTTTGATGAGATTGCTTCAGATATATTGCAACTAGCAGAGTTAGCTTGTAATCTGTTTGTCAAATGCAGAGAGGCAAAGCCACCTGGGCATGAAGATAGTTTTGGATATGTCGGGGAGATTAATGTCAGGCTACACATGTGTGACTTTGTATGTCAGAATAGTGGTTACAAAAACATAGTTGATTTCATTGCTGAAGAAAAAGAATCAGAAAATGGTTCCCAAATAGCCATCTTCATAGAGAAAAGTGTCACAGCCATTGATGACCTAATCAGAGAATGTTCGACAGTTGCAGACCCTGCTGACATTGACAGCTCTTTCAGTAATGCTGTAACGTGGCATCAAAATTTGCTTGGAAAATATGGTCAAGGATTAGAAGCATTAAACTTACCTGATACTATTAGCAGTAAAAGGTTCAAAATTGCTGCTAAGAAGTTAAAACATGGTGGACATGCCCATTTTGACAGCATTCGATGCGAAGCAGATATTAAAGAAATTGTTGCTTCCCTTCAAGAGATCTTTGAAGATGCATTCTACAGAGGCGTGGAAGACAAGAGGACTCTTGAGATTGATTTTCAGGAATGGCTTCATGTAATCAGACATGAGAGCCTTTCTGAGGTCTACAGTCTAGAAACTGTCCTCAGTCAGGTCAGAAAGTGGCATTCAATGCTCAGTACCCCTATGTCAAAGTTTTATCTCTTTGTTCTCACAAGCATTATTGGATTTGGCTCAGAAATGGGGAATGGCAACCCCGAATGCCTGTCTGAGGCCCAGAATTTGAAAGAGGAACTGCGGAAATATGGACGTTGGGTAACAAGGTCTCGATATCCCCGAGAGTGGTTGGGAAACAATGGAAGAGGAATCAAATGTTTGATTTCCAACAAAATTTATGCTGGTAACTCTGAAGGAGAGGTTATGAAATTATCAAATGCAAGGCGTTCTCTCTGTGTATGTCGGGGTACTATCCGTCCGCCAAACAAGAACAAAGTAGCAGGGTTTATCGAACTTGATCTGGGCAACAACTATGTTCCAGTTTCAGTGTTCTTTGTTCCACTGCGTACCAAATTTGAAGGCCCCATTAACGCTGGGGTTCGTGTAGAATTTCATCTTCGATTCAGCTTCTTCAATGGATATGAGGCTTTCAATGTAAAGGCTTTGAAAAAGTATGAATGCATTGTATGTGGATCGAAGGTTGAGATCCTCAGCTGTGAACAATCACAAAGATGTGTAAATGAAAGATGCCAAAAAGAAATTTGCAAGAGCGAAGAATTTTGATCCAGAAATTTTAGCTGTCCTGAGGGGGCAAAACTCAGTGAAAGGAACTATCTGAAGCGGATGATTTCCTAATCATCAGCTGATCGTAATGCACATGGGTGATTCCAACAATGTTACCATGCAAGCTTAGACGATTTTGTATTACTGACAAATCAGAAATGTGGAAGTATTTTTTATTCAGCCTGTTGATATACACATAAGCATAATCAAGCAAACCCCTCTCTTATGTGAAGTACGAAAATACTACATGTTGTTGCATATGCTTTGAAAATCAGGTACTGTAATGAGATCCCACTTGTGACCACACAAAACGGAACCCCACACCAGCACTAGCAACCATCAATGGGTTAAGTTGCATGGTGATATACACCGTTACGACCTCTCCGTAACGACAACTGCCGTCGGTAACGTGTAGACTGTACCGACTTTCCCCCATATACATATATGTTTGACCATTACTAGAGATGTACATACGTTGTATGTGTGTGTACATATGTTTGACCATTACTTGAGATGTACTTTTCGTTGTATGTGTGTGTACATATGTTTGACCATTACTTGAGATGTACTTTCCGTTGTATGTGTGTGTACATATGTTTGACCATTACGTGAGATGTACTTTCCGTTGTATGTGTGTGTACATATGTTTCACCATTACTTGAGATGTACTTTTCGTTGTATGTGTGTGTACATATGTTTCACCATTACGTGAGATGTACTTTCCGTTGTATGTGTGTGTACATATGTTTCACCATTACGTGAGATGTACTTTCCGTTGTATGTGTGTGTACATATGTTTGACCATTACTTGAGATGTACTTTCCGTTGTATGTGTGTGTAAATAGTTTTGACTACTACTTAGATGTACTTTCGTTTTATGTGTATACACATGTTGACTATTACCAGAGATGTACTTTCGTTGTATGTGTATACCCATGTTTGACTATTACCAGAGATGTACTTTCGTTGTATGTGTATACCCATGTTTGACTATTACCAGAGATGTACTTTCGTTGTATATATATAAACATGGTTGACTATTACAAGAGATGTACTTTCGTTGTATGTGTATACCCATGTTTGACTGTACTTTAGTTGTGTGTGTATACCCATGTTTGACTATTACCTGAGATGTACTTTCGTTGTATGTGTATACCCATGTTTGACTATTACCAGAGATGTACTTTCGTTGTATGTGTATACAGTGTTACACATGTTTGCCTATTACAAGAGATGTATTTGCTTTGTATGTGTGTGTACATATGTTTGACCATTGCTTGAGGTGTACTTTTCGTTGTATGTGTATACATATGTTTGACTATTACTAGAGAAGGACTTTGTTGTATGTGTATACCCATGTTTGACTATTAGCAGATATGTACTATCGTTGTATGTGTATGTACATATATTTGGCCATTAGTAGACATGTATCTTAGTTGTATATGTATACATATATTTGACTATTACTACCAATATACTTTCGTTGTATGCGTGTATGTTACAGTAACTATGTATAATTAGTAAATATGTATATATATATATATATATTTGTATGTTTATTTACTGAATTTTTCCCGATGTTTTACTGATTCCGTCAGGGATTATGTATATTTACTGAAATTTACACTGATTCATTAGACATATTTACTGAATTCAAGGTAAGCTTTATGAGTATATCCATTTGTCTCATCACTACCGATGACACACCTTCTTTGTATACAAGCATATACGTTTAATCATTATTACAAGATCTTTAGGGGAATACACAATGCTTTTTTACAAGGTTTGAATCCCGGATGGGGTGAGTAATGTAATAAACAGAAACGGAAAGGTTTTTAATGTTATAACAAAATCACATATAATATTTTTGCTCTTTTCGCTAAACCATAAAAATAGGGGAAGAGACGAACGTATAAAATGAAAATGAACGATATTTAAACTGTGTTGATTTCAGGATTCCGTCAAAAAGAAAGAAAAACATCAGCGAAAAAGTTTCTAACATCGTAATTTTTCGTTGCGCTGCATGGGATTTCAGGTGGGAATAGAGTTCGCGAGTACTAATGGCCACGGTTTCTGTGTCATCTGCTCGAGTAGCAGAGTCATACATTCATGTGTTGTGCCTAGAGACGACACTCCTTGTTAGAGTCCCTGTATCATTTATGTTTCTTCAGAACCCAATTTATTTTTTCATGATTTATTGTTAATATATACGTTAAAGCCATAGAATAACCAGTCTTGTTTTATCCTTCGAAAATGATTCCATTGAGTGGAAAGAACAAAATTGCGGCAAAAGTACGTGGGTTACTGAAATCAGTGTCGACAGCAGGTGTTCGAGAAAAGACCAAACCAGTTTGTTTTGTTGTATTGTTTTTTTAAAAAAAAGACAGGACACGGTCAGCTTTGCCAGAACACCGGTGACATCCTCATCATCATTAGGTGACAATATGGATAACGCAAGCTCATGATACCGTCGGAACGTAACATTATAAATGAGATTTTTATGTTGCAATAGGGAGAGTTTTGTCAATTTTTTTATACACCAGTATCAGTTTATGACCTCATTTGTAATTACTGTCCTTACGGAATTTTCGGAAACGCCCAATGGTAATTATCGAAATACAAAATAACATAATATTTACAGATTTGTTCTAGGATAATTTTCTTTTTAAAGGGAGTGTTCGTCTTGTAAAATGATAATATGTGAACTAAAAGAATGTTTTTTATCAACACAAACAAGTCCATGTGTTTTACTTTTCGCTGAAATTAGTTACAGGACACGTCGAGAGGAAAAAGTTAACACTTGTTTCATTGCACATTTAATCATTTTTGTTGGGTGGGAAGTATTTTCTCTGCTATGTTTGTGTAAAACATATGATATAATACTACTCAAATGGTATCTTATTCAACATGCTTGTTTTTCATTTTATATTTTCACAATCTGCAAGAAAATTAAACAGATATACATCTCCATCTACAGTGTCTGCTCCTGTTTTTAACCGTCTGCAGCAACCCATGAAGATCCGGGTTAGAACTGATCTTCAGCAACCCATGCTTGTCTTAAGAGGCGACTAACGGGATCGGGGGGAGGTCAGGCTCTCTGACTTGGTTGACACATGTCATCGTATCCCAATTGCGTAGATCGCTGCTCATGCTGTTGATCACTGGATTGTGTGGTCAAGACTCGATTAATTACAGACCGCCGCCAAATAGCTGGAATATTGCTGACCGCCGCCATATAGCTGGGATATTGCGACGTAAAGCTAAACTCACTAACACTTTACCCGTCGACGACGACTTTGCCGAATATGAAAAGAATTTATGTAAAATAATCTGCCTGATTCAACAGAGTCGGGTGATGCTCTTTTGGATCTTCTTAGAACAAACTCCAGTGTATATTCTTTAGGTATATTCTTGTATTTTCTTTATCTTAATAGGAGAAAAGCAAATCTGCTGTTATATTTTACATGAGACGAAACATATGGACTGGAAGAGGTTAACATTATTAAACCACGACAAACAGGACCATCGGAGAACTATCACAAAACCTCCACACGAAGTTGTTACTTTAGAGCAATGTCACACAAATAAACACCATGATAATTAGTTCCCACACAGACATACCACAACAACACCATACCAAGTTGTTACTTTAGAACAATGCCACAAAACAACAACAACAACAATCCCCACCATGATAAATAGTTCTTTCAGGGGAATATCACAAAAACATCATACCAATTACTTGGTTTCGAGAAATGCCACACAAGAATACATCATGATTCATAGTTCCCACACAGACATATCACAAATACACAAATTGGTATTATGGAGTAACATCCTGAGACAAAATGGCTGCAAGGCACTACCAATATTGAATAACACCGAGACAAATATTTTCCTTAGAGAAATGTTACAACAACATTGTGACAAATACTTCCTGTAAATAAGATCCCATAAACACTACCACTAGTTTCTATATAGTAATATCAACAATAACATAATCAATTAGATAAAAAGCCAAATTTATATAGATAGATATTTCTATATTGTTCTTGAGCATAAATGAAAAGAAAGGTTTCTTGTCCTGACAGTTTCACATTTTCTTTCATCATACGAATGTGTTTCATCGACTTCATATACGTGCCATCAACGTGACACCTGCACTGATCCTCATGTGCATATCCACATGTCCAAATACATGAACGAGTTTCAAGGTTGTTCCCATAATTATAAAAATAGTATTCATTATACAAGACTGGACATCTTTGACCTAAGTTCACTATTTCTGACGAAGTGGTAAATCAATGTCACCTGTTTTCGCGGGTGTCAAAGGATGCAGAAACTAAGTCAAAGGTCAAAGAGGCATTAGCTGTATGTCTCGTGACGCATGCACCTACCTTAAGGGGTAGTATGATCTAAGCGTTAATTTGGCTGTAATGCTAATTGATTAGGGCGTTATTCTATATACGTTCTTGTAATACCCTGAGGATATATGCACTTTTTGCTCATATGCGTCAAGGGACATAGCCAACAAAATGCATTAAATCCTTCTTTGCTACTTGAGAAAATATGATTATTCCTATTTACTGCATGTACCTTGAACTTTATGCTAATAACCGTCTACCGAAATATAAACGACAAAACGTTCATCTTTACATGTTAATTTATATGTCTAATACCGAATTTACACTGGATGTCCGTTATATTATACGGATGTTCTGTTTATGTTTTATATATCTGTATTGTGTATACGTTAGATTTATTCTGTATATGCCTGATGGACGTGATCTGATGATGTTTTCTACATACGTCAGATGACTTTTATGTCAATAATGTTCTGTACATAGGCTTGACAAACGTGGCAAATGTTCTGCATATACGTCGGATGACCCTTATGTCAATACATGTTCAGCATATAGCCCTGCGTCCATAATATTATGCGTTTGCATATTTATTTAATAAAACCTAGAGACCTTGTGTAACACATTGATCGGTATACCATGAAACAAACTGGAATTTCAACACATTTGGCATATTTGAATTAAACTGAATTATTTAGAACCTTTGGTTTCTGCATAATTTATCAAAATATTGTTTGACAAGAAGTTAAGATTTAAGTATTGTATGTGTTACAGCCTTTAATGATTCAAACATTTCAGATAATCTCAGCTCCCAGCAATATTCCACCAATATGGTGGCGGTCTGTAAATAACCGAGTCTGGAGGTGAGGTGAAATTGGGTTTAAAGTCGTGCTTGACAATATTTCGCTCATATGACGACGTGCATGCGTGTGTATGTGTATGTGCGGCTGCTTGTACTAGCCCAGACTGAAGCTGGTTTTATAGTGCTAGCCCACTGAGATACCATGCCGCAGTGAAGCATGAATACCCTACTCAGACACATTATACTGACTCCGAGCCGACCAGTCCTTGTTGTACCCATTAATGCCGAGCGCCAGGCAGGGACCAACAAGTACCATATTTTAACGTCTTTTGGTATGACGCGGTTGGGGATCGAACCCGCGACCTTCCGATCTCCGGGCGGACGCTCTAACCACTACACCACGGAGTCTGGACCAGACAATCAAGTGCTCAACAGCACGAGCATCGATCTTTGGATACGATGCCATTTGCCAACCAAGTCAGCGAGCCTGACCACCCGAGCGGCTTTCGACAAGAATGGGTTGCTGAAGACCAATTCTAAACCGGATCTTCAGTCGTCGCACTAAAAGGGGGATGGTAGGACAATTCAATCAACAACGTCAATTTCAGGTGTGACCACCATTTCCGTTGACACAGCCTATTATACATGTCAACAAGAGCAATCGCTACTGGCAGAGTTCTGGTCTTGTCGTTGGTGTCGAATCATCTCATCCCAGACATGTTTTATAGGGGAAGAGATCTCGAAAAACAGTCGATCATGGTATTGCAGCAACATCATGCTGCCGCAAAACGTCTGTTGCAACACAAGCAACATGTGGGGGATCAGTTTACAG